GTACTGTACTTTATGGTGTATATAAATAAGCATATGTGTTTATGTATATGTGCATTGGTACATTACTATATCACATGTGTATATTGTGGGGTTTTGCTTGTTATCTTTTATTAATCTTTCATTATTCTTCTCAGCCTCTCTTGTATTAAGCTGCAGTAATGTGCAAATTTCCAGACTGTGGGATCAATTAAGTTTTATCTTATCTTATTTTATCTTAAAAACGGTTTTTAGTCGGTAGATAACTGTGTTTTTGCTATGAAACTACAAATATGGCCGAACAGAGTGGAGTCGAACGCTCAGCGACCTGGAGGGGGCAGGCTGTGAAATATCTCATTTGTATTTAAAGAGACCGCACCAAAACAGCTTGCTCTGAGGCGCAACTCAGAACAGGGTTAAAGCAAGGAAAGCAAGGAGTCTGTGGAGCAACAAAAACGAGGAATTAAGACCAAAGCGTTGCAGTTTTATTTTAAATAGACCATAAGTGAATGATTTAGACACGAAAAAGAAGGRTTTAAAAGCATGATAATACCTTTAAACAACTCTAACTTTTATTTAGTACATGTTTACCTGAAGGAAGAAAGATGACATCAATCACTCATTCGAACAGCGTGTTCCTACAAACCAACAGAAACGAGTGATGAACACCACAGGCAACACAAAAGAGTGAAATTATGCAGCACATCAAAAACATTCACTGAAGTTTTAGCTTTCATTTTCAATAGTCTGTCACAAATAATACATGTTTACTGCCCCTTTAAGTGATCATTTTAAACATGGATGTTAAAAAAAGCAAAGAATAAATTGTTGGTAATTTTAAATCACGTTCAGATTTGTATATATATGACCCTTACTTGTGCGTTACCTAACCAATAACCTAACCCTGAGCAAGCATGTCCAGAAGAGAATCAGTGTCACGCTTAAATTCCTGTTCCAACAGAGAACCTATTCAACACTAATGTCAGGATGAGCTTTTTAGAGGACAAAAGGATTGAGCGGATCCTGGCAAAAGCCGGGTTATCGGTCTGGCAAACTGTCAGTCTGTTTTTAATCCCAGAAGCTAACTGCGCTGTGATAATCCCTTGGATTCAATCCCACGGTCTTGACCCGGGAATAATTCTGCCTGTTCGTCTTTGCTTACAGTGATACTTCAACACTGGACTGAGCCAAGCACAAACACAGACTGATGCTTACATCACAGATTACTGCAGCAGCGAGCAACGGATAAACTGGGTGCTAAAAGCTCTAATCATGCCAGTTGCAAATCTGCAGTACTGGGCTTACTCACGGCACTACTTACACTTTGGTTTTAGTGCAGAACAGTTGGGCTTTGGCTGCAGCCAGTTATTGGGCCTAATCAAGTTGTCAATGAAAACGCTATTAACCTACAAATCCAACTGGTGCTCTCACTTCCTCCATCACCCACCCACCAACAACTGTCTGTGACCAAAAGCAATTCAAGTATGGAAACATAGCAACAAATTAGGTCAATAAAATTTATATTTGTTAATTTGACTTGACTGGAAAAAAAAGAAGAAAACACAGAACATAACACGGGAGAAAATAAATTAAACTTTTCTGCATTCCTAGTAGGGTTGAGCAATATTAGCAAAAACATTAATCATGATTAATTGTGGTATTTAGACGATAACGATTAATATGACAATTCAGTATTTCCCCTACCATTATACAGGCGGGGTGGGCCCCACTGCCAACGAGACGGCCCGCCCCTCTAAGAATTTCACGACATGTAGTCATTTTTATTTAAATAAGGCCAGATCAAGTCGAGAGCTATTTTTTGCACCCTCCATATCCACCTCTCGGCAAACTTGGGGGGAAGACGGCGCAGAGCGAGGCTGAGCGCTGTGTGTGGTCCTCACAAAGATAGGACGACATGTGTCTGTGATTGGACGGCAATGAAAACTCTGCAATTAATCCCCTGGTGTCCCTGGATGCCTCATATCCTAGACACATGACTAATTTAAATCTCTCTAGTGGGAAAGACTTGCTCTCCGTAAAAATCTGTTCCAAATTGTGTCAAAATACAGACTTCAAGCTAAACATCAATTTTTAATTGTGTCGACAGACCAAGTCAAACCTGAGTTATGATTAATAAATTACAGAACTTTAAAAAAAAGTTTTTCTAATTTGAAGCGGAGAGGAGCATTGAGCGGACTGACCGGGGAAATCTCCAGTTAGTCTACCTGGTGGCATTAATCGTCAAGTACCAATAAATAATCGATTAAAGCTTTTCTGACGATAACCGTATTTATTCATGTAAAATACGATCTCTAGTATAATACAATCATAATTATTTGAGATTAAAAAGCACAAAAAATCTAATCATCAATAACCTGTGTATAAAACGATCTCTCTCTCTCTCTCTCTCTCTCTCTCTCTCTCTCTCTCTCTCTCTCTGGTTATCTTTTTTATTTTTTCCAAATGTTTTTTCTCAAATGATTTTTTTAAGTTGGTCAAGTAGTTTTCGAAGGATGCTTACGAGCTGGGGGACATTTATTGGACACACTTACTACACCTTCATACCACGATATGGAACAACAGGATTTATACAGGAAAACTTACTAAAGATAGCTCCAGAACAAAAATAAACATTATGTGTATCTTTAGGAAAAGTCTTTATTGAAAATGTAAAAAATAAGTAAATAAATAAAAAAAAACTACATAGTATTGCAGAATGTGTACATATTTCTCCACATAAGATAAAATTTTAACATTTACCAGCAGACGTGTTTTAAATGTTTTACTCTGTAAAATAGTGCAYGATATACGATTTTGTTGATCCCTTTGAGAGGTTCCCTCGGGAAAAATTCATTTCCAGCAGCAACAAAGAACAGAAAGGTAATAAAAAAGCAACTCTATATCAAATTAAACTGTCACATCATTATTGCACCTGTTCACTGCTATGTGTATGAAACCTTGTTGATAATTTCTTGATGTCTCTCATATTCGGTACAAGTCTGTTTCTTCCTCTGACTCATCTCTGCTCATATGATATGTCCTTTGGTAAATTCAACCCACATCTGAAACCTCTACCATCCTCTCGCTTGTTAAATCGTAGATAGTTTAAAATTGATGTAATGAAGAAAGCTCGCTGATTAATAATGTCATTGTCGAGCTTTTTCCCCCAGTAGCTGTAATGAAGCATGACTCATTGTTTTTCAGGGTGCTATGCAACTACACTGGAAGATGTGACACTGTGTTGGTGTAGAGATATAAGCCAGACGTGGAGCTAAGCTTGAACCAGAAAGAAAAAATGTCGCACCGAGAATACAACTCCTCTGAAACACACCTTAGCATGTTTGGGGTTTCTGAGAAGTTGTTGCCTTCCAGCGTGTGAGTGAGCGTAAATGCAGGCATGTTTTTTTTTAATTCGGCAAACATATATATAC